TGTTTTGAGGTCATGAAGCCAGCAAAACGAGACTAAACACTTCGTAGGTCTTCACATCCTATCGCAAAAATACCATATTTTTTTCTCTTCTAGGCTAGTTAATAGCAAAAATCTACTTCAGATATCTACTAAAAATATATTTCTTGCGAGAAAAGGGGATTTTTATAGTTATTTAGTGCGCTAACTTACCTTTCGTCACCAAAAAACTACCCGAATCCGCCATCTTTTTTTACATTCTCGCATAGCTAAAATCCTGTAGAATGCCAGCCACAATGGCTGATTTGATCACGTGATCTCTTAGTGCAAGTCGTCTATTAAGTGAAAATGAAAGTTAAGCATAGAGCTAAACGAAGCAAATTAAATCAAAGCTTGAGTTCATATCTACTTGGCGCCTTACAGGGTCACTATTACTTGGAACTCGATTTATTTCTTGGAATAATTTCACAGTAAGCAGCGCTTATTAATTCGTACTTAGTGGCGCGAACGTTCGATACGCGTCGTAATACTTCGGAATTCGAAAGTTTACTGATTATGTCTACAAAGTACGAATTTTGGACTTAAAATCGATGATTTTTGGGACTTTAGCAAGTAGTTCAGGTGGAATTATGGATAAGTTATGGATAAATGGACTTCACTTTGCGTCTGGACAGGTTTCTAAAACTTGCGAAGGATCAAAAATTTACGCATGTTTTTATTATTGAGCATTAAATTGGTTTCTCTAGTTATAAACCTGTATTATTGTTTGTATTTTTCAGTTTAACATGGAAAAGGCTGAATGTATAAAGTTTATTCTGTCGGATAAAGATCTCGTTAGAAGGGTGAAAGAATGGATCTCAAGAAGGGAAGACATGCAACAAGCAAGTTTAGCTGCATCCAGTTTCAATTCTATGGCTCTTGATAACTTTTTAACATCCTTGTCCATTGATGATTTCAATCAGATGATTCAAGATCTTGACATCGGAAAAGCATTAACTGCATCGAGGAGTTGTACTTCAAGTAGAGATGGCTTTTCTAGTGCTTCTAATCATGATGTTCCTACCAAACTTGATAATGACAGTACTAGTCATGATAATGATGTAGAATGGGATATGAATGCAATGACTAACTTGAAAATCACTCCCTCAAAACCAGAAATCAAAGCTTCAGAAATTACTGTATCCAGAATAGGAGAAGTTTCAAGTGCCCATCGAGTTGTATTTGATGTATATGATGAGGATAAGGATGAAGATTTGAAAACTGAAGCCCCTCCAATGGCATCAACCTGGAATTTCCCTCCAGCACCAGAAAGCAAGATCCAGGATACAGAAGAATTGAATGTCCATGAACAAAGAAACCCCCACAAATGCAGTAACCCAGGAGAGGAAGCGACTGCATTCAGATCCCCAGGGAGTATGGATATGACAGAGAATAGCCCAGATTCACAAACCTCTGATTGTTCAAGTACTGAAGAAGATGGAATCCAGCAAAATTATGTCAGAAATGAACCTATTCCAAGGCGAACAAGTAATATGACTGATCCTGCTGAACAAAATAGTGCATTTGAGCAACGTGATCATGACTTGCGCCAGCCAAGGTTGGAGGAATCTGACAGAAGTTCAGTGGTAGGCAATAGTGATCAAGGTCCCCCAGCAGTGACCTATGGGACAGTACGTAGGGCATCGACTGAAGACCGTGCAAGAGAACATGCTGATCAAAACACAGTTCAAAACCCATTGCAGCAGATTCCTGCAGGCTTGCAATCGGCAGCTCAAAATACTTTTGATCAATTGCAAAATCGTAACTCCCCACAGGTACTGTACTAGTAACTATAATTTAATGTTCAATTTTATTCTTTATATCTAAAATATAAAAACCATATGAATAGCAAGGCCATCCGATTCACTAGCCAAATATATTTCATTGACATTAGTAACTTAGTTTTTCAGCAAGGAGAGTTTTAATTTTTCTAAGTCCAAAAACGTGTTTTTTCCTTGTTATGTGAAACCATGCAAGTATGTGGCTATGATAATAAGTTTAAAAAAAATTTATAAAATCAAGTCTTGCATGCATGCTGTTTTTATTCTTTCAGCTTCATCTACAGAATCCCTGCCAGATACCAGCCGAGACCTTCCACACTATTGTGATGGTATGTATGTTTTGATATGTCACCCGCAGCTGTTTTGAAAGATACTAGAAATGGGTTTTGAACAGTACCCTATAGCTACTTTGTGCCCTGGGATCCCACACTTGCCCTATTTTTCATTCTACATAAAAACAATTAGGAACCCATGCCCATGTGATATTTAGCAATTATTTAGTGAATATCGGGGATTAGCAAGAAACTCACACTATCACACGATAATCACCTCCAGGGATAATTCAAAATGGAGACCAGCCACTTTGACTTGCTGTTACCGGGAAAAAATGCCCTTTATCTTCTTTGTTTTCTTTTTTTGAATGAATCACCTGTGTATTTATACTAAAACAATAATTTGCCTCAGGCTCAGTGATTATTGGGGAATATTTAGCTCACCGCTCGAAGACTGGCATCTCGGTAAATATTCCCCGATAACCACTTTGTCTTCGGCGAATAATTGTTAAATATCCGGCAGATGCCATTTTGTTGCTGACTCAATATTCCGAGATTCAGAGGTGAATATCGTACAATATTCACCTCCAATTAACCAATGAGTGCGCGTGTTCTTAGGAAGTACACAAGTTGGTATCTGCTAATGAGTGATTTTATATAATGATATAAATTATAGAACTTGGCTTTTTGCAAAATATCATGTTTTGTCAGTCTTAATTCTTGCAAACAGTTATTTTCTATGTTTTTGGCATTAGTGAGTGATATCTAAATGATTTTACCAAGAAAATAAAATGTAGATGTATATGAAATAACTGATCCTCACCACTGACAAAGTTGAAGTAAAGGATTGCCTATTGTTTTCAAGATGCTTGAAAGGGAGTTGAGACAAGGTAATCAACTCACAAGATGTGACAGCTGTGCTAATTTGCAAGCAGAGATTAAGAATTTAAGAAAGAGCTGTAGATGTCTTGGTCAGCAGTTAGAGCTACTCAAATGGAATTATGTTCTCCTGGAGGAAATCATCAAGAATTTAGAGAAGGTGTGAATTTTTATTATTATTATAAAAATCACAATTATGAAACTCACATTCTGATTGGTTGGGGGTGTGTGCTTTATAAGAGCACACAGCACACAGCAAACATTCACACTTTTTATTTTGTAATTCATATCCAAGTTAAAACAATATCTTAGAGGGAGGAGTACTGTGGTTACAAAATGAGCCAGGGATGGAGGTATGGGTTTGGGTACAAAATGGGCCAAAATGAAGAGGTCTGCATGGATACAAAATAGGCCAGAATGGAGGAAAGGGTGCGGGCACAAAGTGTGCCAGGCACTAAGGGAGGGGTGTGGGTACAAAATGGGCCAGGAATGGATGCAAAACAAATTATGAATTTTTAATAATGAATGTTAATATTCATTTAGATGCTAAAGCAAAAGGAAAATGATAATGAAGAAAGCCTTCGGGTTATCCGATATTTTCATGAGGTAAAAAGCATTGTTAAAAACAACAGTAGAAATGAGCAATGGGTGGACAATGGATATATGAGTAGATGTGGATGGTATAGATGGATGAATTGATGAATGGGTGGGTGGATAAAAAATGTGATGGATAGATGGGTGGATAGAATGAATGGATGGACAGACAGATGGATGGATGGATAAATAGATGTGAATAAGTCACAACATGCATGAGTAGTTTATAATTCGCATTTACTCTGGGGTGAATCTTGAATTTTTTAGTTTATACCGTATCCTGGTGTAGTTCATATGCTTTTAATAATTAAATTAAAATTCAATCATTGATTTTTTGGGGGCTTGCATCTACACTAAAACTATCTGTTTATACATGGATTAACTTAAAAATTAATATTGAAAATTGACTGTTTATTTTACAGCAAATGGTTGAGAGAAAAAATGAACTCTCAAAATTAAAAAAAGAAATAGAAGTCATAAGAAATAAATTTGAGCAAGAAAGAAAACAACTTTATGAGGTATGGATTATATAATATAAATTATATAATTTAAGCTTATATAATAAAAATCTTAAAGCTTATAGCCCTGCATAATCTTTTATGCATGGTGGAATGCAGAAATCACTGATCAAAAACAGCTGGCATGGCTGACTAAAGATTGAACCCTGAAACAAATTAATTAACCTCTGGGCTGATCTAAGTCAGGGCATGCACAGCTAATTTACAGATCGAACCTTCAACAAACCTATGGAGGAATTAAATATGCCATTGAAGATCAACCTTATTAAATATAACTTATAATGGTACACATTATTAATAATAACACTCTCTTAGGAATGAACTTGAACTTTTATGAACTTTGCTTTCTTGAGTCTTCCCCCAGTTCCTCCTAGTTCCCCTTAAGGTTGTTTTTAAAAGGCTGCCACCTTCCCACCCCAGAAATTCAAAATGTGTTCCATACAAACTCTGTAATTTTGTTCTTTCTCTGACCTCCCCCCTACCCTTAGAAATTCCAAATTCCTCTGTGAAGGCAGGGTGGGGAGGGGTGGGGAACATTATTATTATGTTCAACTAAAAACTTTTTTTAATTTTGGTTGTAGAAAGCAGAAAAAGAAAACAAAGAGCAAACACATGTCTATGAGCAAATAAAGAAACAAACAGAGGTAATAATAAAAATTTAAGAGTTTATTAAGTAATTATGATAGTGATATCCTTTCTCTATTTTTCCCCTTTTCTCTTTGGCTCCTTAATTATATATCTATACTTGTCTTTCCATGTGTTAATTTAGTCTCCTACGCAGCGGCTATTAGTGTCGTCAAGCAATTAACGCTCACTCCCCTAAGTATAGGGGAGTGAGCGTGGCATCATGACAACACCAAATTAAAGCAGTTGCATAGGAGACTGGTATTAATTATAGTGAATAGATAATAAAAAAAGTCTCATTTTCCATTTTTCCATTGATCAAAGATGGTTGAAAAAGTGAAAGCAAAATTTTCTGTTGAACGTAACAAGAAACAAGTCTTACAGGAAAAGCTGAAGGAAAAGAATAAAGAATCCAATGATTTGCAAAAAGAAAATCAGTTGCTAAGGGACGAAAATAAAATGCTAAGGATAAAGTTGGACCAATTAGAGGAAGAAAAAAGAAAAGAAAGAAAAGCAAGCCAGGTAAGAATGTTTGCATACTAGTTTTTTGTAGGTTGGAGAAAACTCTTGAATTAAGGAATATACGTACCTCACAATAAATATTTTTACAAATTGAAAAGCTGTTTTACTCTTTTCTTAAAATGTTTTATGAATTACACACAAAGGAAAAGTGTGCAGACAAATATTAATACTGAACAAGGAGGTGGAAAATTATTAAGATTTCAATTAATTAATGATTACCATTTATGAAGATATAACTAGCTAAAAACTAGTGTGAGCTGCGCGCGTCATTGTTTCTAATGAAACAGTAATGATGAAAAGGTAAATCATACACCGTGAAAAGATGAAAAAACTTACTGACATTTCGGACGCTAGTCCTTCATCAGAGTAAAAAAGAGGATTACCATTTATGATCAATTCTCACCTAGCGGACACCCCATTATTATTAGGACACCTTGCTATAGTAGATAAGGATTGGATATACCCAAAATGTCCCCATTAAAAAATGTATTCCATGAAAACAACTCTCGCTATTATATTATAGACTCTCTTCATAACTTAAGGACACAATTGACAGTCCCATGAAGCCATCCTGTATAAAGAGGGTTGACTGATGACATCGATTAATTAATATTTTCGTTTTTAAATAGCTGCTTCAAGAAAAATACACTATGCGTGAGACTCAGTTCAATGAAAGAATTGACAAGGAGATAGAAAAGCTTAAGGAATTGCTTGAGAACCTGAAAGTCATTGCCCAAAAGCATGGATATTTCAATTCATTGGATGGTTTAAACTTAGAGGTAATTAATTAATGAATTAAACAAAATTATTTGTCTTCAGTTGTTAGCACTGAAGCTCCGACTGGAACACTGGATCTTCCTGATGAGCTTAAAGACTCTCCTTCCATTAATACTTTTAAATCTAAATTAAAGACAATTTTGTTTAAGTGACTGTATATTATGATTAACAACATTATTATAGTATCTTTTATCATCTTCTACAATATTATGTACTGTTTAAWAAACGAGCAGGAGTGTTTTATCGGGTATAAAACACGAGGCGCAGCCGAGTGGTTTTATACCCGATAAAACACGATCTGCGAGTTTATTGAACGGCTTAGAAAACTCATGATGTATGTTCTCATACTGTACAGAAGTCTTTACCAAGAATGAACCAAGTTTGATAGAGAAAATCCAAGTTAAAGTTTATGCAAATGAAGACGAATCTATATCAGATATAAAACCTCCTGCATGGTCATGATTTCTATTGTGTTTTCTTCATGAATTATTAATGAGTTTTCTAAATTATGATTAACAACATTATTATAGTATCTTTTATCATCTACTATTATACATATATATATATATGTAAGAAATCTGTGAATCAATTTTCCGTAAAACAGTGCTCAATACATCGATGGAAGTAGAGCAGAATATTTGTTTGAGAAGAAAAAGTCAAGACAACATTTTTCCCGACAAGCCTGTTTCGTGAATTGCTTCACTCTTCAGGGGATTTAATGATAAGAATATTCGTTACTATCATTTATATAGAAAAAGTGTACATAATTAATTAGTGGATGTAGTTTAGCTGTTGCGTAATAATGCTTTGTTTCTGTGGCGGCATGAAGATACAAGTTCGTTGCGCTTATTTAATGATGAGAGTTCCGGTCGATAAATTATTAGAAACTTTTCTTTAAGACAAAGGTTACATCTTTTGCTGGAGCTGTTGTAGGCGGAGCTTGAAGATAGGACGCGCCATAAAATTGAGTAGCTGATATTACCGCAAAATACATCTGGACTCTCAAGAACGGTAATATCAGCTACTCAATTTTATGGCGCGTCCTATCTTCAAGCTCCGCCTACAACAGCTCCAGCAAAAGATGTAACCTTTGTCTTAAAGAAAAGTTTCTAATAATTTATCGACCGGAACTCTCATCATTAAATAAGCGCAACGAACTTGTATCTTCATGCCGCCACAGAAACAAAGCATTATTACGCAACAGCTAAACTACATCCACTAATTAATTATGTACACTTTTTCTATATAAATGATAGTAACGAATATTCTTATCATTAAATCCCCTGAAGAGTGAAGCAATTCACGAAACAGGCTTGTCGGGAAAAATGTTGTCTTGACTTTTTCTTCTCAAACAAATATATATATATGTATATATATTTATTGATTTATCACATGCACACATTTATTCGTCTGTTCATCTAACCAATAATCACTTGTTCATTCATTTATTTATTTGTTCATTCATTCATCTGTTAATTATTTATTTTTTCATTCGTTCATCTATTTATTTCTTTTTTTTAAAATTATTATTCATCTATGCTTATTTAATTTTGATTTATTTATTCATTCATTAATACATGTATTTTTTTGTTCAATCCTTTATATATTTAGAGAGAGAGTGATGACAATAATTTTCCTTTGCCTTGAAGTTAATCTTCCACCAACAAAAAATCACTGCAGTAGGATAATGCTGTTCAAATTTATGTCTAATTGAAGGCAGTACTTGAGGTATTTCATGGACGTCTTCCTACAGCATTTGGTATTTGAATCTTAAATTGCAAAAAAAGTAACATTCTGAACACTGTAGCTGAATGGAAAAAGCTTAAACTCAGTTGTCCGAGTGTCATGCATGCATTAAAACATGTCTTGTCTTAATGCAATTAAAAGACACATTAGTGTCTTAATTAATGATGTTTCTAACTATACATAGAAGCCATAAAATAAGATAGAATGTGAAACATATATTTCATATTCTTGTGAGCTATAGTTTCTGGGAAAAAAGTTTCTAAAATTCTTATATTTATGTCTCTCTTAGCACAGGTATGCATTTTTAATCAGTCTTTATACTACAGCCAGCCAATTTGAGCCTCTTATGAAATCAAAGTTGCAAATTTTACAACGAAAAAATTATAAATCTTCAAAAATTTTCTGGGTTGAGATATAATTTATTATACATTTTGTATAAATCAAGCATTTTTGTTACATATGCCAAAATTTATTTGATTCATGAAAGTCTACTAGCAGTTAACCCCTTGCAACATTTGTCTGGATCAACCTGCACAGTGCAGTGGTAATCGAGTTGTAATCCGTCACTAATGTGATATGATAATTAATATAACTCAAATGTATCATACT